GAATAGATAAGCAAAATGTGGTCTATCCACACAGTGGAATATTACTCAGCCTTGAAAAGGAAGACAGTTCTGACACATGCTACAACATGAATGAACCTTGAGGACATTATGCTAAATGAAATAAGCCAGTTTCAAAAGGACAAAAACTGTATGATTCCACTTTGAATCATCTATGAATTTCATGTACATAGAACAATGAAATTCGTAGAGGCAGAAAGTTGAAAGGTGGGTGCCAGGGGCAAAAACAAAAATAAGGGAAGATTCACACTCCCCTGCAGGCTTCTCTCCACAGACCTCACCAGGTGTCAAAAAAAGAGTTCTCCAGGGGATTCCAATGTCAGCCAAGCTGTAAACCCACTGGTCTTTTGGATAACTTTCTTCATTTCTTCTTTGGGGAGAACCTTGTTTTTCTGTAAGTTGCAAAAGACAGCTCATACCATCGGCTCAGCCAGTTAGGGGGATCTACATTCTCTCAATGGCCTTTCCTCTCCCTTTTTCTAACTTAAAGCTTTTTAATGGAGAAGTCTTCCCCGTTGTCTGCAGTTTTTCTTCTCTCAAAACAACCTTCTGAAATCTCTTTCAGGGTGGGGTTTCAGATGGTGTGAAACCCTCCTGATAGCTCACACCATCACATGGGTGTGAACCAGCAGACCTACAGCATGGAAGGTTGAGAGGCTGAGCTGCCATTAGGCTGCCTGGGCTGAGTCCCAAGGGCACCCCCATGCTTGCTCGAATGACTTCCTGCAAGCTACTTCACCTCTTCAAAATGTCACTGGGTATAATCAGAGTACCCACCCCATGAGGTCTCCTGCTGAGAACGACATGAAAAAAGCCTGTGCAAAATGCTTGCTTGCCATGTAGAAAAAAAAGCTTCCATAAATGTTGGTTAATATTGTGAGCTTTCAAGTCAACCAGGTGTGAATAATTTCCACTCCATTCCATCGGCTGTGACCGGGGAATACAAAGGTTTGTCAGAGCTGGCTCTGGCCTACAGGAGTTTACGGCTATCCGACTTTACAGCTGCAAGTGCCAGCAGAGAGCTACAGACCCGGTGCTGGAGAAGTTCAAAGTCAGAGAGGTAACAACCATGAAGCCGGGAATTAGGAAAAGCCTGATGGTGGCTGGGTTCGAGCTGACCCTGGTGGACTATGAAGTGTAAAGCTGACTTCCCTGCAACTCTGTCTGCTGACATCCTTTTCTTTTTCCAAAGAGAAATCCAAGACTCAGAGAGATTCACAACCACCCAAGGGCCATGAGTGATTTAGCCCCACCCCCCAAATACACACCAAAAAGCTAGGTTTAATCATCTATGTCTCAGACCCTGCAAGGCTCTCTGCAGGGCTGAGGGGCTCACTGGCTACCTGTGACTTCTGCCCACCTAGCAGGCACTGCCCCAGGCCCCGAGCTCCAGGATAGTATGGCATCAGCCAGAGGCAGCTGTCAGCCAGGCCAATCCCCTCCTCCCAACCTGGGAGGCCACTCAGGGCAGTGCTCTCTGTTGGGGACTCTAAGCATGAAACAGAATTGGAGGAGGCTGTGCTGAGAAAATCGCTGAGGGAGGAAGGGTAACGGTCTGTGTTCTTCAGTGGTCTCTCCTCACCCTGTGCTCTCCTGGCATAAAGCTTTCATGATGGAGATGCCTTCCCCAGCAACTGCAGTTTTTCTTCTCTCAAAACAAGTTCTGAAACATCTTTCGTGGGAGCTGTGGTCATTAGAGTTTGGGAGAGGGAGGCCCTTCTCTTCCGGTGTCCTCACGGGGTCTCTGCCATTTAGATTTCTGCTGAACAACTGGGCTTTGGAGGGGGTTGGAGGAGACATGAGTATGGAGCTGGGGCCCAGGGCCATCCCAAGCAGAAGAAAGGCATCAGCAGGGGCATAAGGCAGGACAGCCCAGAGCACATGTGGACATCTGGGAACAGTTCATCCATATTCTGATTGGGAAGTACACTTGTAGAGGATGAAGAGGTTAGTCTGGAAAGGTAAAAGTAGGTGTGAGCCAGACCACAGAGGGCCGTCCTTACTGCAGTGGGTCATGGGGAACCATGAAGCTTCCAGAACAAAGAGTGAGCTGAGATAGCAACTGTGACATATACTTTGTTGAGTGAATTAATAAATAAACTAATAAGAGTCTGAGAAAGACACAATAGCCATATGTAAGACACTTAATTTAAAGACAGTGGCCGGAGGGGAGAGTCCCTACAACAAGCCCCACCGCCCTGCTGCGTATGCTTAGGTAACAGTGTGAACAAGCCCACAGTCCTGCTGTGTATGCTTAGGTAACAGTGTGAACAAGCCCACAGTCCTGCTGTGTATGCTCAGGTAACAGTGTGAACAAGCCCCACCGTCCTGCTGCGTATGCTTAGGTAACAGTGTGAACAAGCCCCACCATCCTGCTGTGTATGCTTAGGTAACAGTGTGAACAAGCCCACAGTACTGCTGTGTATGCTTAGGTAACAGTGTGAACAAGCCCACCGCCCTGCTGCGTATGCTTAGGTAACAGTGTGAACAAGCCCACAGTCCTGCTGTGTATGCTTAGGTAACAGTGTGAACAAGCCCACAGTCCTGCTGTGTATGCTCAGGTAACAGTGTGAACAAGCCCCACCATCCTGCTGCATATGCTTAGGTAACCACAGTCCTGCTCTGTATGCTTAGGTAACAGTGTGAACAAGCCCACAGTCCTGCTCTGTATGCTTAGGTAACAGTGTGAAGAAGCCCACAGTCCTGCTGCGTATGCTTAGGTAACAGTGTGAAGAAGCCCACAGTCCTGCTGCGTATGCTTAGGTAACAGTGTGAACAAGCCCACAGTACTGCTGTGTATGCTCAGGTAACAGTGTGAACAATCCCCCAGTCCTGCTGCGTATGCTCAGGTAACAGTGTGAACAAGCCCCACAGTCCTGCTGCGTATGCTTAGGTAACAGTGTGAACAAGCCCACAGTCCTGCTGCGTATGCTTAGGTAATAGTGTGAACAAGCCCACAGTCCTGCTCTGTATGCTTAGGTAACAGTGTGAACAAGCCCACAGTCCTGCTCTGTATGCTTAGGTAACAGTGTGAAGAAGCCCACAGTCCTGCTGTGTATGCTTAGGTAACAGTGTGAACAAGCCCCACAGTCCTGCTGTGTATGCTTAGGTAACAGTGTGAACAAGCCCACAGTCCTGCTGCGTATGCTCAGGTAACAGTGTGAACAATCCCACAGTCCTGCTGCGTATGCTCAGGTAACAGTGTGAACAAGCCCCACAGTCCTGCTGCGTATGCTTAGGTAACAGTGTGAACAAGCCCCACAGTCCTGCTGCGTATGCTTAGGTAACAGTGCGAACAAGCCCCACCGTCCTGCTGCGTATGCTTAGGTAACAGTGTGAACAAGCCCACAGTCCTGCTGCATATGCTTAGGTAACAGTGTGAACAAGCCCACAGTCCTGCTGCGTATGCTTAGGTAACAGTGTGAACAAGCCCACAGTCCTGCTCTGTATGCTTAGGTAACAGTGTGAACAAGCCCCACCGTCCTGCTGCGTATGCTTAGGTAACAGTGTGAACAAGCCCCACAGTCCTGCTGCATATGCTTAGGTAACAGTGTGAAGAAGCCCACAGTCCTGCTGTGTATGCTTAGGTAACAGTGTGAACAAGCCCCACCGTCCTGCTGCGTATGCTTAGGTAACAGTGTGAACAAGCCCCACAGTCCTGCTGCATATGCTTAGGTAACAGTGTGAACAAGCCCACAGTCCTGCTGCGTATGCTTAGGTAACAGTGTGAACAAGCCCACCGCCCTGCTGCGTATGCTTAGGTAACAGTGTGAACAAGCCCCACCGTCCTGCTGTGTATGCTTAGGTAACAGTGTGAACAAGCCCCACCGTCCTGCTGTGTATGCTTAGGTAACAGTGTGAACTGCTCTGAAATTGAGGCTGCAAGTAAAGTCATATGTATATTTCTTACAAATAAAAAATAAAAGCAGCTCCAACCCACAGGCCAAATGAATGAGAAGCCCAGACTCTCTCTCCTAGTACTCCCCATATCCCTCCCTGCTTTTTGCTGTCAGCTGCCACTGACACTGGTCCTTTGAGTCTAAGACAGTGCTGGCTGCTGCCCAGGCTCAGGTTTCCTTCATATCTGAGGGAAGAGTGCACCCACCTGGTGCTCCATGGCTCCTTCAGTTCTGGGCCCCTGGTGCTCAGCTCCTTCAGGTCCACACCCAGCATCCCCTTAAGACCAGCTCTCCTAGGAGCCCCTGCAAAGCCTGTCCGGCCTCCATCCATGCATCTTCACATTCTTCCTTCCCTGAAGACCCATCACACAGGAGGTGGAGCAACTTTCCTCTTCCAGCCTTGAGACACAGAGGACAATGGCTTTCCTGGAAATATGGTCACCCTAAGTATTGCCAGGGATCCAACAGCCTCCAAATGCAAACACCTTTTTCTCCAAAGATGAAGTCACTCTCCCTCTTCAACAGAGAGACCCAGATACTCTCCTGGGTACCCAACACTTTCACCCTGTTCAGTTGTGGAAGAGGCATCCTTTAGTGCCTCAAAAAGGACTTATTAAACTACGAAAAACCAAGGAAACTCCAAGATCTCTTTTTGAGAGCAGAGAAAGAAGAAAAAGAAAAGGGGGTACATCGAGGATCTCCCACCATGTTTATAGTGTAACATTTTTCATTCTTTGTAAAATTTCTGCTATTTTACTTGGAATTTACTTAACATTCCTTTATATAGTTCCATCTCTAGCATATAGCATTTCTTTATTAGTTACAGAGGAGGAAAGAGAAGAAATAAAGAAGTTGGAGGATGGAAACTGAGATGTCATCTTTGGCATGGCAGGTGCCCTAAGCCTCCGACAGCCTTATAAGGAAGCTATTGTTATTATTCTGATTTTACTGATTAAAAAAAAAAGAAGACATAAATGAGATGAGTAAGTGAATGAATGACAATGCCATTTCTCTCTTTCTTTCCATCATGCAAACATGGCTTACTGTCCTCACTCATAAAACATTTTTCAAGAAGTCAGAGAGCAAAAAAAATAAAAAGTATATTAAAAACACATTAAAGCAGTACGATTTCTGAACCATTCAGTAAAAGATGAAAATAGCTTTGTTATCCAGAGACTGTCTTCATAAAGTCATTGTTACCATGAGTTAGAACCTGTATTAACTCAGAAATTAAAATAGCGCTGTGTGCAGCAAATTCTGAAGACACACTCTATGATTTTCAGAGCACCTATTAATATTCTCCTGAACTTTAGATGGATCTGAATGATTTACCATAAGAGAATCCTGTTTAAATGCTCTCCTTCAAAAAGAAAAAGTAATAAAATGGAATGATTCTGGAAAACGTATTTTTACATTAATTAGGAATGAAGTACAAAGTCTAGAATGATCAGTCCAATGCTGGCATTTACAAAAAAAAAAAAAAAGAAGTCCTCATACACTCCCCAGGTTTCCCAGAGGACAGTTCTGGGACCCTAAACAGACTTGGCACAGTCTCTGTGGGAAAAGTGGTTTACAGGCTTGCCTCTGATTGATTCAAACAGCAGCAGCTGTAACAACCTGTTTTTAATCAAATCTAAAAGTAAACTTAGGACAAAATATGTGTTCTTCTAATAAAACACACAATGCATTTTTCTGAAATATATGATTACACTTTCTGGAAAGGTCTTGGAGAATTATTCTTGTTCTGACTTCTGAGAGATATTGCCCTTCGTATTTGGCAGTCCTGGTGCCTGTTTTCTGGGGCACCTCACTCTGGCAGGTCCCTTTAGGGTTGGACTTTGCCACATGGTCATATGTTCAGCCAGGGGGTGGGGACTCTTTGGCAGGTGAGCCTTTGTCTGCCGAGCTCTGCCAGGCCCTGTGAGGAGAAGGGCAATTAGCCTGCACAGCCTGGTGCTCCTAAGGTGGATCCTCTCAGGACAAAGGGGAGCAGGTGTGGGGACAGACACCACCTGTAGCAACAGCTGCCATCTGGAAGGGGTCCCCAAGCTAATCCAGTGCTTGGTACATTTGCATTCTCCCACTAATATCACAGGCACAATACTTTGGGTGAGAAAGAGAAGACCACAATGAACAGAGATTCTTCCATATTTGCTTTACCGAAGCTCTCCCCTGAGCTACCTGAGGATAGGTGTAATACCTTACATCTCACAATACCTGCAATCACAGGTACATGACAGACAATGAAAGGGGTTGTATTAGTCCATTTTCACACACTGCTATAAAGAACTGCTGAAGACTGGGTAATTTATAAAGGAAAGAGGTTTAATTGACTCAGTGTCGCATGGCTGGGGAGCCCTCAGGAAACTTATAATCATGGCAGAAGGCAAAGGGGAAGCAAGGCACCTTCTTCACAAGGCAGCAGGAAAAGTGCTGAGCAGAGGGAAAAGAGCCCCTTATAAAACCATCAGATCTCATGAGAACTCACTCACTATCATGAGAACAGCATGGGGGAAACAACTGCCCCATGATTCAGTTACCACCACCTGGTCTCTCCCTTGGCATGTGGGGATTATAGGGATTACAATTCAAGAGGAGATTTGGGTGGGGACACAAAGCCTCACCATATCATTGTTGGAGAAAGGAAGGAAAGGAAAGAGGGAAGAAAGGAGAGAGGGAGGGAGGGACAGAGGGGGAGGAAAGGAATCCCAAGAATGAAAGTTCAAGTGATGACAAGGGGGTTCTTTAAAACCAGAGATCAAATAAAACTAGAGGAACAACGAATGGAGCTATTTCCATTCTCATTGAACTCTCATTCAGGGAGGAGCCCACACACACTAAAATATCATCTGCCAGGGTAAGAGTTCACGTTTTCATAAAGGATCATGCAGTTAAGTTGATTCACTGGCGGTTTGTAGAAACCCTCATCCTTGCCACCCCTCACCCTCCACATACACACCAAAAAGCTAGCTTTCATAATCCATGTCTCCAGTCCTGGAAGGCTCTCTGTGGGGCTGAGGGGGTCTTGCTGGCTGCCTGTGGCTCCAGCCCACCTAACAGGCACCTTTCCAGGTGCCAAGCTCCAGGACAGTGTTTAGTCAGCCAGAGGAAGCTGCCATAGTCAGGCTGCTCCCCTTCTCCCAGCCTGGGGGGCCACTCAGGGTAGCACTCTCTGTTGGGGACCCTAAGCATGAAACAGAATTGGAAGAGACTGTGCTGGAAAATCATGGCGCAAAGGAGGCTGATGGTCTACGTTCTTCACCCTTTGTTCTCCCAGCATAAAGCTTTTGTGATGGAGATGCCTTCCCCATGCTCTTCAGCTTTCCTTCTCTCAAAACAAGTTTTGAAACATCTTTTGGGGGAACTTTGGTGATTAGAGCTTTGGAAAGAGAGGCTCTTCTCTTCCAGTTGTCCTCACAGCATCTGTGTTATTTAGGTTTCTACGGAACAAGCAGGCTTCAGAAGAGTTTGGAGGAGGGCACTTAGCGATGTGAAGTGGCCCAGGAATTTCAAGCATCCAGATGTACCTGGAATATTAAGAGTTTAAATCAAGGGCTGGCAAATTGCAGCTTGTAGGCCAATCTAGCCCTTGGCCTGTTTTAATATAGGCAGCAAGCTAAGATGGTTTGTATATTTTCAAAGAGTTCCAAAACAAAGAAGAATATACAACGAAGATATATGTAGCCTGCATATCCCAAAATCACTACTCACTGGCCCTTCACAGAATGAACTCTCAAGCCCCTGGTAAATAGAAATGTGATAGATCAAAGAATGTACACCGAGCACAAGAAAAGGTAAGGCCCCAGAAGAATCCCTGAGGGCCGACATTCATGCCCAGTTAAGAATGGTGCCGGCTCTGGAGCATGTGGTCTGTTAAGGCAATGAGAACAGAAGTCTCCCAGGACTGAAATGAATGGAGATTTTACATTGTGGAGGATGTAATGGTTAATGTTAGCGGCACTCAGACAGTTGGCTAAACACACCTGGATGTTGCCATGAAGGTGTTTTTAAATGAGATTAAAATCTAAATTAGTAGTCTCTGAGCAAAGCAGATTGCCCTCTGGGTGAGTTTCATCCAATCTGTTGAAGGCCTTAAGAGAACAAAGACTGACCTCTCCCAGGGAAGAGGGAGTAACCCCAGCCGATTGTCGGCTGCAACATCGGCTCTCCCCTGGGCCTCCAGCCTGCAGGCCCATGCTGCAAATTCTGGACTTGCCAGCTGCCTCTACTATCACGGAAGCCACTCCTTAAAGGAAATCTCCCTCTCCTATCAGCATCCCATTGACTCTGCTTCTCCAGAGATCCCTGACTCCTACAAAGGGCCGAACAGTATACAAATCTTTGCAAAACCTGCTCTCTGGCTAGAAGTGAGGCCTACTGTGGCTTGTTCCTGTGATACCACTGGACATCTGGGTAAATAAAGAGCCAAAGTGTCTGCAGGTTAGACTAGACTCTGCTGTCTCCATTTTTTCACAAGCACCGCAGGGGGCTGAGGATACACAGCAAACAGGCTCCTGGTAACTGCAGCACACTCTCTCCAGGGACTTCTTCCATTTTTTACACATATCGCCAAGGCTCTGAAGGAGTGCTCAGGGCACAGCTCAAATCTAAGGGTCCGGAGGTTGGCAGTAGGGCTCGGCTCTGTTCACTGTCTCTCCTCCTATGCAGGAAGCATGCAGTGAGGCAAAGCCCACAGGCTGGGAGCTGCATAGCTCAGGCTCCTGGGAAATAGGCTCTTAGATAGAGCTTAGCAGGTTATTGGGCAGTGTTCTTGGCCCAACATCTTTGTTGGGTGAATGAGTCTGGCTATTCCAGGAAGGGAACATGCTCTTGGCTGGGCTCTCTTTGACTGAGGGCAATTCCCAGAAAGGACTCAGATGCGAGCCAGCCAGGAGGCAACATTCCCAGTGACTGGGAGATGAGAGCCTCAGTCCTGGGTGGAGCATCTGAAGGGTGCACCCTAACGTTCACTACCGTGGGCTTCAGCAAATCACCTCCCAAGCAGGGCACCAGCTTCCTTGTCTGCAGCCCCCATTCTCCCCAGGCTTCATCAGCCTATGGAGACAAATAAGGTCCCACCAACAGAAATGGCCTGAAAACCTGCAACAAATCCTTCCCAAAGGAATGTAATGCAGATGCATGCAGGCTTCACACTGGTGTCTATCAAAGTCATATCTATAGCACTGACCAACATCGCTGTTTGATTAGCAGAGATTCCAGTGTTTTCTCAGGTGGTGTACAATCGAGTCACTGCATCTAGAAGCCCCAGGCAAGGTGGGCAGGAGAGTAGAGAGGGCTCACAGATAAGAAAGCTGCTGCCTTTATCTCCTGTCCAAAACTCCCATACTCAGATGCCCATGGGAGTCTAACCAGGCCCATGTGTGCCCAGTGACCAGGCGATTTCAGACTGCCTCCAGTCTGCCAACCTCACCACTTCCTGCCCGACCTCTGGCCTGCAGAAAAGTTCTGTCCCCTTCTCATGACCACCTCCTTCAGAAGGAATATTGGGTAATGAGGGACAGCTCTCACCTTCCTGGCTCCAGGCACCATGAGAGGGCAGAGTAAGGATGGTCGGGCCAGCCTCCCACCATACCTGGAATGTGGTTCCCTTGAGCACCAGACCTTGGTGCCTAGACTGCTCCACTCACCAGATCTTTGCCCCACTCACTGCCACCTCCTCTTCCAAGTCATCCAGCTTGGGGAACCCAGTCCATCATCTGTGCCTGATCCCCAGTTGGGAGCTAGCTTTAATTATTCCTACTAGACTTCTGGGCTACAATCAAACCAAAGAACAATGTGTGTGAACATCCATCTCACCACTCAGCCCTTGCCAGGAAAGTTGAGAAGCTCCGCTCGCTCCACGACGGTTGGAGGCTACCTGCTCAGAAACGATTGTAAGAGAACTATGACAGCTCAGCTCCAATGACATCAAAGAAACGAGGGGCTTTTCATGGGAGTTTGACAAAGGAGCTGAAGAAATGCTTTTTTAAGCACATGTTAAAGTCTCCCCACCTCCACTTGGACAATGGCCACAGTGCCACTGGTCACACCCTCAGTATACCCAGGACTGAGACCACCGCCATTTGGCTCAGAAGAGCTGGATTCCTCCTTTGGTTCTTCCTTTTCACAGCATGCACTCGTCCTAGCGGGGCCTCAACTTTCCCATTTGCAAAATGGAGATAGGCCAGCCCTGACTACCTGAGTGTAAACTTGGACAGCAAATGAAGGGACATCTGTGAAAAGAATGGGTCAACTGTAAAGGACACAAATATGGGGTCTCCTTTTCCCATGTTCTGGTTTATCAGGCAGGGCTGTGCTGTGATGTCATTAGTGCAGGCTGCCTACTCTCTGTCCTTGGCCTAGGCCTGTGCTTCTTGGCCAGAGGCAAGGAAGTGTATAGAATCACCTGGAAGGTTTTGCACAGCACACGCTCCCCACAGTGAAGGTTCTGAGATACACTGATGGGGGATGGGGAGGATGTGAGTTTTTAAAAAGTTTCCTAAACAGTTCCATCATGAAACCTCCACCTCCATGTCCAACTTTCCCAAGCTCAACTCCCCAGGGAACTCAACAAGAACCAAAAGCCCCCAAATTTCCAACCCTTTAGCTAATTCAGTCTATGCCCAGCGAAAGTTCATCAAACCTTCCTGGAGAGCAAATGTCACCAGGCACGACATCCTTCTCTCCCGCTTTTCTGGATGTGGCATCTATTCCGCAGCACACTTGTTCTCTTTCCGAGGCTGATTGGCCCATCTGGAGTCAGTTCCTGCTGGAGAGGCCTGTGGTGCCGAAAATGGTTTCTAAAGGTCCCTTCCAAGCTCTGAAATTTAATGAAATGCATCTTTTCTAAAGCTGTTCTACGAACTGACAGTGGCTTCCCACGGGAGGTAAAGAGGCTTCCTGGAAGTCATTAACCTTTCTGAATCTTATGGGGTGCTAGGAAACAGTTTGGAAGGATACCAAATCAAACTTGGAGCCCAGGGAGCCTCACTTTGCAGTGAGCCTGGCGAGCCCATATTCCAAGAAAGTGTACCTCAGGGATAAGGCCACCGCTGGCTCTCGGCCTGGGGATCCTGGCCTGGGGTAGGGAGAAGAGAAGGGGCCTAAGAGCAGCTGGCACTTACTGAGCATGTATTTTGTATTATGCTGAGCATATCTTATTACCGAGCATGTATCATGCCCCAGCCAAGCCAGTCCATGATCCACTCATCTACCCTCACAACAACCTACACAGTAGGTAAGGAAGCTAAGGTCTGAGACAGTAAGTGACGGGAGCTGACAGCCAGAAAGAGTCAGGACGGGTATATACACACACATATATGTGTGTAGATATAGATATAGATATAGATATAGATATAGATATAGATATAGATATAGATATAGATATATATTGGTTTTTTCTATATATCTGTATGTGTTACAAAGTTTACTTTGTAAGTTAGGAACAGTAAGAGATTAACAAAGATAATAATGAAATGAAACAAGTATAACGATATGCCAGCTTCGCTACTCTTGCCCTTTGGGGACTTCATGAAGTAAAATAAGGATTGCTTGAATGCAAGCACTGTGATACCAAGACAGATGATCTCATAACCAAGATGGTCACTAAGTGACTAACGGGCAGATGGTGTAGACGGCGTGAGGACACTGGACAAAGCAATGATTCGTGTCGCAGGTGGGATGGAGCAGATGATCAGATTTCATCATGCTACTCGGAAGCACAATGAAAGGGTGCACTATTTAAAACTTATGAACTGTTTATCTCTGGAATTTTTTATTTAATATTTTCAGACTACGGTTAACTGTGAGTAATTGAAACCACAAAAAGCAATATGGCAGATAAGGAGGGACTGCTGTATTTTGCACCTAAAATGTGTTAGAAGAGGGGATCTCATGATAAGGGTTCTTAGCATGCACTGGAAAAAAGGAACCCCGGGAAATTTCTGGAGGTAATAGCTATGTTTATTATCTTGATTGTGGTATGGGTAACATAAGTATGTACATATACACTCCCTAAATTGGATACATTAATTTCTTGTAGTTTTTTGTATATCAGTTGTACCTCCATAAAGCTAAGGGGTGACTGAATGGCCTACCAGACATGGAGCTCTCAGCAGGCTCTTCCTTTAGCTCAGTGTGCAGGGAGTTAGTGGCGTATGTGTGTGTTGGGGAGGAGAGGAGTAAAGATCTCTTCCTGGAGGGCAATGCTTCACATTGTTGGCTTTCCAGACAGGGTCTCACGCTGCCACCCAGGCTGGAGTGCAGTGATGTCATCATAGCTCCCTGCAGCCTCCAACTCTTGGACTCAAGCAATCCTGCCTCAGCCTCCCAAGTAGCTGGGACTACAGGCATGTACCCATCATGCCTGCCTAATTCTTGTATTTTTTTGTAGAGATGGGGTCTTGCCATGTTGCTCAGGTTGGTCTCGAACTCCTGGGCACAAGTGATCTTTCTGCTTCGGCCTCCCGAAGTGCTGAGTGCCCAGCCAATCCTTCACATCTTACCAGACTTTGGATTGCATGGTGCAGTCTCAGGAGGCTGCCCAAGGGTGGCCCCATCTCCGCCTCCCAGGCCTTCTCTCCTTATCTGTTTCTCAGGACACATGTAGCCTGATGCTCCACACCATCTGGAGCTCAGCAGAACTGGTCTTCTCTGGTCTTGGTGGTCTACCCATCCTGCTTTTCTAAGATTCCAGGGAGAAAAGTCCTCATTTGAACTGAAAACACCCGGGCGCTGGAGCTCTTTAAGAGCCTTCTGCAGGCCTAGGTCTGGGAGCTGTGGCCCAAAATGAGAAGGTGTGAGAAAGGCTGAGCCTCTACCATTCTTCCACACAGTGGCCTGTTCAGGGAAAGCAGCATTTTTCCATTTATTTTTCTTTTTCTCCTTTTTTTAAAAACACTTATGTCTTATAATAGCTGGTATTCTTCAATGTTTACTCTCATCATTATCAAGCCCTTATTCCCTAAATGTTTGCTTAACATTTTTTGTAGAGAAAAGGAGGGGGAGCTATGGGCCTCTGCAAACAGACGCTTCTCAAAGGCAAGGGAGGAATGTGCTCACGGGAATCTAAATCCAGAGGGTCATGGCCCCAGAGCCCTTGGCTGAGCCAAGCAAGTTTCCCCAGGCAGCCAGAGGGCTGCAGCTCATGGCAGAGGCTGCAACATTGCTGTCTTCAGAACCCACTAATTGACAAGCCAGTGGGGTCTGCAAAGCCCATGGAGCCTATTAGAGAAAAGGTCATTCCACCTCCCACCCAGAAGCACCACATGGGACATGCCTGCAAGCAGCAGCAACAGTAGGATGGCTCCAGTGATCCGTCTCCCAGCAAGGCCTCTGTGCTCAGGTCTCAGCATGCTGGAATGTTTTCTGGGGAGCTCTGAGACCAGGGCTGGCTCAGACATAGTTCAGATGGGATCTGCAGTGACTTCTTAGCTGTCAGATCTGTGGCTTCTCCTGTGGCCACTTCTTTTTGCATTAACTCCCTATATTCATGAATTGCTTGTGGTTTTCAAGACACTTTCATTCACATATTTTATTTGATCCTCACATTTCCCTGGGGGAAGGCAAATATAGGTGCCATTTTGCAGATCAGTAAACTGAGGCACTGAAAGCTTAATGGCTCTCCTAAGGCCATTTGGCTCCTAAAGGGAAAATGGGGCACTAGAAGCCAGGCCTTGGTGCTGCATGCCAGTGCCTTCCCCGCTGCACTGAGTGCCTCCCTGCCACCCTGGGATGTATGGCCTTTGTCCCTGTCAGTGAATGGCTCCATTTACCAGCCCCCAAGCCAGAAAACCGGGGATCATGCCCACTCTTCCCTAATCCCACCCTCCCACCCTCACCCATTCTACCCTAAATATCTCTGCAGTCCACCCACTCCACTCTGTCCCAACAGCCACTGCCTAAATTCAGGTCCCTATTTCTCACATAGAGTAATGCCGCACCTTCCTCACCATCCTCCACCTGACAGTCAGAACACAAACCTGGGCAGGTTTCTTCCTGAGCAATCCTTCAGTGACTCCCCACAGCCCTCAGGAGGAAGCCCACACCTGAGCACAGCCTTTGAGGTCTCCCATGAGTGGACTGCTTATTTCTCCTGTATCACACAGCCACTCAACCGTTGATCCTATCCATTCCCTGTGCTCAACAGGCTCCCACCCACTATCCATCCTGCTCTCAAAATCTCTGTTGGACAGCTCCTAATCAGCCCTCAAGGTGGGGTCTGCAAAGACCTTGGCCTCGCCTCCTCTGGGAAGCCATCCCCGACTCCTCCAGTCTCAGGTAGAGGCCCCCCCTGCCCCAGGGGCCTCCTCCCATCATGAGGCTGTGTGTGCTGTGATATCACTGTGGGCCATCGTTTCTGTCCTCTTACTGGGCTGTGAGTTCAACCATGGGGGTTCTAACCTCTGTATCACCTGGGCCTGGCTTAGGACACGCTTTTAGAGGAACTAAGTAGGTCCAAGGACATCCGTTGGATTACTGAGATGCAGACTCTGTTTAGTATTAGGATTTTAGAATCCTTTCCCAAATCGTCACTCTGTCTGGGTCTGACTTGGCTTCTCTGAAAAAGTGCTAATGGGGAAGTCAGCCAGGTTTCCCAGCCCCCAGCAGCCTCGGCCTCACTCACACCCCCACCCACCTCCTCGAAGTGGACAAAAACAATGCTCCAGGGACCAGGTGCCACCCTGAGAACAGCCCTGAAGATACACCCCAGGGCAGCTGCTAGTACAAGAACACTCAGCAGCTTGGGGATAGAGGCTAGAGACAAGGAATGACAGACAAATTCAGCCCAAGCTGACCCCCCAGGACCAAGGAAGTGATAAAGGAGTTAAAAAGAAATAATTGAGGCAGACAGCGAGGGTAAGGAAGTCCTCTGTAAGGTTTTTCCTTTAATGAAAAGCAGCCCCAAAATCGTTTTCTTTCCTTTTTTTTTTTTTGAGATGGGGTCTCACTCTGTCACCCAGGATGGAGTGTAATGGCATGGTCTCAGCTCACTGCAACCTCCGCCTCCCAGGTTCAATCGATTCTCTGGCCTCAGCCTCTCAAGTAGCTGGGGCTATAGGAGCATATCACCACACCTGGCTAATTTTCTCATTTTTAGTAGAGATGGGGTTTCGCTATGTTGGCCAGGCTGATCTCCAAGTCCTGACCTCATGATCCACCTGCCTCGGCCTCCCAAAGTGCTGGGATTACAGGCATGAGCCACTGCACCCAGCAATCATTTTCTTTTCTAACAAAGAGCAACCTGTAAAATCGAGCTGCAGACATAGACAAGCAAGTTAGAAGCTTGCACCAGCAAATGCCGGCAGTTTTGCCAGTAGAAAAGGTGCTACCTGGCGCTAGGCACGGCCAACATGGCGGCTCCCTCTCCCCTTCTCTTTGCCAGCTACACGTACAGTAAGAAGCAGACAACATGGCACCAGCCAAGTGGAAAGCCGATTTGCATCATAAGATTAGAGTGGGGTGGCCAGCTTCCCGGCACGCTATGCAAAGTCACACCTGGTCCAGCCAATCTGTGGGCCACCCGTAAATCAGACAGCGCTTCCTCAAGCCTGTCTATAAAATCCGATGCACTCTGCTGCGGGCCAGAAGTCCCATTCAGGTGCCCCCTCTCTTGCAAGAGACAACGTTTCTTGGCACGAGAAGACGAACTCCAGGTATTACCGCAGACAATGATGCTGCATCAGATGTGGGACAAGTTGGGGACAACACGAAGCCAAGTTGGGAGCTGTGGGCCACCTGTTTGAGGATCTCCCTCCACTCTGCAGAGTTGAGGCTGCCCAGTTGGAGACCACATTATCAAGTCCCCTTTGCATCTCAGAG